AGGTAAATTTTGGAAATTCTGAGAGGCTCTGGAATTTAAGGATTTAATCCCTTTGACAAGAGAGTTCTATAAGAAGCATAGAGAATGAGTTTTGTAAAGCTTGAAATGTGTACAATTTGAGGAGGAAAAATTGCAGTTAAAAAAAAAAGGTAAATTTGAATTGTTCAGAATTTTTGGCGTTTACATAATATTTAGTTGTTGAATGATCAGGAATTAAGGAATAAGTAATCTTAAAATAATCAACAGGATAGTTCAGGCGTAGAGAAGTTGATGAAGTTATTAGACGCAGGCCTGCGGAGCCCTCATCTTCCCAAAACAAGCCACACGGAATCCTGTATCTTTGGAGGCAGGCATGAGGAAATCAAAAAAACCTTGGTGCCCATGGCAAAACTTCCTTCTCAGGTTTTTAGGCAGCATAAGCCAGTATGCACTTTGAATTACAGTATAGTCCATGGGCTTTGGTTTTAAAAATGTGTCATGCGGGGGAATACCTCATTGAAAAAGTTTGAAATTTTTTTTGCATGTGAAATTGACATGTAGCATCAGGGCAGGAATTTGCCACAGATTTCATATTGCAATTTTTAACTGTATTGTATATTTTACATGTTTCTTTTTCAGAACATGTATAACAATAGCAATACATTCTAACAATGTGGGCCACAGTTTTCTAAAAAAAACTATCATGTGGACCAAAAAGACATAAATTTCCTAGAAAAATTTAAGGTTTGGATTTTTTAAAATTTTTTTTATCCTGTAAAAATAATAAAATGTATGCTTTACATATAACAAATTTTAAAATATGATCAAAATTAATCTTTACTTTTTTTTTTGCTGTGGCCAAACAAAAAAATATCTTTGTTTACTGTTACATGCTGAAATAGGGCGGAGGTAGGAATTTTTTTTTTTTTATTGAATTTTTTTATACACAAATTCACATGAATTGGGAATTTACAAAACAGTTTTACCATTGATGGTGCATTAATTTTGTTTGGCTTGAAATATGGGTGGTTTCTTGCCAACTGCTTTATAACTCAGGGGTGTGCAATTTAAAAAATTTAATTAGCCCACGGGTTTTTAACAACAATAAAGTTACAGGAAGTTAAAAGTGAGCACCCCAAAAAGGTAAAAAAAAAGACAAAATTAAAAAGTTCATTGTTGAAAAATCAGGGTCCTAAGCCACCCCTTTTTAAAAGTTAAATTTTAAAAAATTTTAAAGAAATTATATTATCTTTTCTTTTTGAACATTTTTAAATATAGAGTGAGTTTATCTAAAATAAGCAAAATCTTTTTATTTTTTTTTTAAACCTTTAAAATACAATTAAAATTTTAAATTTAACCACATAACACTTAGCTATTATTGTTTGGGGGGAGAAATAATGGAAAGAGAACCATGTATTTACCATTAAGAGGAATGGAAAATTTCGGATTAGGAAAAAACATTTTTTTGAAAAAAGTCGGGAGACTTCAAAAAGGATAAGGTTAAACTAATCTAAAACAGTTGGAGCATGCTGCCTAAAATTTTCATTAGTTGGAAATTAAATAGCAAAACAATGAGTGAAAAAAAAACCCGGATTTCTCATGTATTATATGCATAATTTTAATTTTTATACCCCAAATACGGTAGCACCGTCATGGCGATGTGTTTCACATCCCTGAATCCACGCAATGGTAAAAAATTCAAGAACTGGGGGTGTAAAATTACACTTTATTTTGTTTTTGTATTTCATTTTCATTTTAAAGATGAATGTAAAAGTTAAATTACGGGAAACTTCCATTTTCACAAAAAAAAGTTTGGGGGGCATGAAAATTAGAGTCGGTGGTAACCGAAAAAAACAATTTTTTTGTTACGCCTAATTAAAAAAAAAATTTTTAAAAATTTTCACAAAAGTGCAGAACTAATTAAGGAATTACAGAAATTTAAACCCTGACCCTTACTTACAGTTGGCTGTGTCCACAGCCTCGGGTAAAGAGGAAGTGTGCCACCCCCCTGTCCTATCCTAAAAGGGGCTGGAAAGGTTACCCCACACGCCCTCCCAGCAGGGCCCAGGCCATTCCTGGGCACATAGGGGGGGACAGTCATACTGGGGGCAAAAAAGGGGGGGCAGTCAAACTGGGGGGGACAAAGGGGGGAAATAAAATGGGGGTGACAGGTAAGGGGGGTACAGTCATACTGGGGGGCAACAGGTAAGGGGGGACAGTATACTGGGGGGGAACAGGAGGGGGGGACAGTCAAACTGGGGGGTCAACGGTAAAGGGGGGACAGTCAAACTGGGGTCAACAGGTAAGGGGGGGACAGTCATACTGGGGGTCAACATAAGGGGGGAAGTAACTGGGGGTAAAAGGTAGGGGGGGATAGTAAATGGGGGTTCAGATAAGGGGGGGGGGGACAGTCAAACTGGGGGTTGAAAAAGGTAAGGAGGGAACAGTCAAATTGGGGTCAACTGGTAAGGGGGGTACAGTCAAACTTGGGGTAATGGAAGGGGGGGCGTAAACTGGGGGAACTGAGGAGGGGGGAAAGTCAAATTGGGGTCAACTGGGAAGGGGGGGACAGTCAAACTTTAACTGGGAAGGGGGGTACAGTAAACTTGGGGTAACTGGGGGGGCATGTGGGGGAGGGGGGAAAAACAGGGGGTTGATAGGTAAGGGGGGTACAAACAATCCTTAGTGTCTCAGATTCATTGAGGCCAATGAAAGAAAATTGAAGAATATCTGAAGATTAAAATTACTGTATACAGGGTTATTTTCACCCCATCTTACTTTTGCTCTTTCACACCTTCATACAATTTTGTCCATTTTGAATTTACCCATTGTGGGTTTTGTTTTAAAAATTTTACTATTTTCTTTGAATTAACCTTTCTTAAGTTTGCCCACTTTTGTATAGGGAGCGAAAATAAAACAGATGAAAATTTCCCTGTTTACAGTACTTGGAATTAAACTTATGATTAAACATGTCGATGGTGTTTTAGAAAAATTTTATTTGATTGTAGAAATTGTTACATACTTGTATATATGGCTTTATCTGACTATTTGTAGGTTGTGTTTACCCAGCCCTCAGAGGTCCTTAGCAGCTTTAGGACTGATGTTTACATGCATGTACTCAGGTAATTAACAGTTCAAAGAAGTTAGCATTCAAGACCTCACTTTACAATTGGCAACCGAGCCTGTAGCATGAAATATTACGTAAAAATGGAATCATAGTTGTAAATCAGAGGTTTTTCCAATGCTTGGAACTGTAGCTCTATGCCAGTTTCAGTTTTGTCAACCAGAGTGCTACAGTTCCACAGGTGAATCAAACTTTAAACATAATCTAAGGAGTTGGAATGTCACTTATTTTAGTCCCAATCTCTACGTACTTGCACAGAAAAAAAATCAGTAAATGTAGATCTGATATTATTCAGGAAGTGCTATAGAGCTGTACTTTATTTCCTAGGTAAGCAGTATGACCAGTATAGCCCACTCCCTAGGGATGCTCCAGCGTATGATTTCAACATTGTTTATCAGGACCCAGAGTCTCTCATCCTGGCCATGGAGAGAGTCACTGTACTGTTTGATAGGTCAGTAATACACAAAAATCTGGAGCTTTAAATGTATTTTGTTCAAAATCAAGATCTATTGATAATTGCTATATTTGTCCCGAAATTTTAATGATTTCTTTCCTAGTACAATTTATACATATTGCAGGATAAAGAAGGGCTACCCATACGAGGCCCGAGTCATCACCCTGTACTTCCAACATTCCTGGCTGATTTCTTTCCTCCCCAGGACATCATGAATAAGATAATCGGGGAGTTATTTCCAGTCAGCAGCCCTACCCCCAGCTGATAGCCATGGTTGTGTTTCAGGTATGAAAGTAATAAATCTCCTTAAAACAACTTCTAATTAGGCTATGAGCAGTTCATGTTCCATTATTTGTCATGAATTTTGAGTTGTTTTACATTGGGTATGAAGCTTGTACTGCTTGCATTAATTTTGATTGATTTTACAGGTATTCAGTAACCTCCACATTCAAAACCAGGAAGCTCTAGTTCAGAATTGGGTCATGTTGTCTCTCTCCAACTTCACCCAGCGAACTCCTGTATCCATGGCAACCTGGAGTCTGACGTGTTTCTTCATCAGTGCCTCCACCAATTCCTGGCTAAGGCCTCTGTATCCTTCAATTCAATTCTGCAGAATATTTATATTTATTTAATTCATAAAGCTTATACACTGTAGATGTGTATTATTTACCTACAGAATTTGTACACTTGTACATGGAGCTTACAGTTGTTACATACGGTACTTGTTAATCAGCTTTATCTACTCAGAATATTTTGCCCTGTGAAGTATTGTTTGTATTATAGACACAAATCTATCTTTTCAAGTACAAAGTTTCCTCTCTGTCTAAAGTCAGGAGACTGGCACTTGCAGTTTTTAAAAAATAAACTGAAAAAAATTAAAAGCACTTTCAATAGCATATTCTTTAGATTAAAAAAAAATGGAAAGGGCTCGCAAGTTTTTCAAGAAGCTTCACATTTATTACCTTTTCTTTTGAATTTGAATTATATAAACTTTAAGATTGTTTTTATTATTTCATGTAAATTGTGTTGATGTGTCTTACTTGAATCTACATATAGATCAGTCTGAAAATGTTCAGCTTTTGATTCCTATACGTATCTTCAGAATTATTCACGTTATCAACAGGAGGGGTAAAGGAAACTTTGGGGATAAAACCTATTCTGTATGGAGCCCTGGACTTTTACTGTAACAAGGACAAACAACAACAGGGGGCCTTCATTTCCATTCCAGAATTACTATCCTTATCCCCCCTACAAGACTTTTTAAAACAAAAAAACCCAAGAGCATTTTCCTAGAAGAAAACGAAGCCCCATCCTTTGTTTAATTAGGGAAAAGATCTCAAGGTCATTCAGAAGAGTTTTAGAGGATGTTACTGATCACGCATTGTGAATGCATTAATCATGAATATGGATCATATTTGATTAAGTCCATAATATTCCCTAAAAGAAAAATATTGTCTATATTCAGATTTTATGTCTGAAACCCCCCCAAAACTAGTAAATTAAGTTTTTCAATTCATGATGCACCCTGAGATGTAATACACTGTACATGTTATTTAAGTGCTGCAGTTTTCTTTAATGTGCTAGTTGAAATATTAATTGCAATTTCACCTGCTTTATAATATACATTGTGTAAGTATTCCATTTACCATTAGTTGCTTTGATTTTTTAATAGCTAAGCGTGTTAAAATTTATCGTCAAAAAACTCTGTTGTAGTTGGAAAACATATCAGTTGTTTTTTTTTTATTTTTTTGTCTTTTGGGTCATAGTAGCCCTGGTTTATAGAAAGGGACTTACACCTTTTTTTTTATGACAATGGTACTTTAACTACATTTTACATATTATTACTAACACACATAAATTTCAAAATACTGTACCGTACTTTGAACTTTAATGTTACCTCTAAATAACTTAAGACAATGTCACATGATCTTCAATTCCTAGGTTCACCCATACCAAAAAAACATCATACATTCAATCTGATAAAACCCTGTCATTTACAGAACTGTTTGCTTTCTGTGATGAACAAAAGCATAATAAGTATTGCGATTCCCCTAATTTCCCAAAAAAGAGAAAAAAAATAAATCCTCATGTTCCATGACAAGTACATGTAGTGCATGCAGTAGGAATCATCAAGACTCTGCAACTGATCAAATTTTATCCACATAAATTGCCAAAACTGGTTTGTTTTCTCATAAGATGGAAAAAAAGAAGAAAATTTTTTTCTGTTTTTTTTTTTTACAAGGGGAATTTGTTGTTTTTTCCCCTTTTCTTTGTCTTATAAAAATAATTTAAAATGATGTTTTTGATAAAAAATTCCCTTTTAAACATTGGAAAAAGGAATTACTGTATAAGGGGGAGGATCAAATAGAAGGAAGTTTAGGGGTATTTTGTTATTTTTATTTTCCCCCTTGCTTAAATTTTCCCCCCAAACTAAGGACCTTTTTCTGGTTTGCATTTATTGATGGCTCTATGGAGAGTAATTGTTTTTTTAAAATAATATATAACTAAATTTTTTTTTTCATTTAGATATACAAGTACTTGTATTTCAGTAATACTTAATGTGTGTGTTGAACATTTTTTTTAGTTGAATAAAAATTAAATGCACCAGGGACCATGAAAAAAGGATTAAATATGATGTACATCAAAGAGTAAAAATGAAAAATTTCCCTTTTAATTCATTAACTTCATTATTGAAGTAGAGGGAAAAAATTAAACCATTTTTTCAGAGCACTTTTGGAATTTCACTTGCCTTTATTAAAAACAGCCAACTGGAAATACTTTGGGCCCTTTTTTGTAAATAAAGGTTTTTTTTCCCAAATTACGGAAAAGGCTGAAATGATATTTGGATTTAAATAAATTCATGTACATTTGTACATGTATAAAGTGTTTGTAAAAAAATTAATTTTTGAAATTTAAGTTTTAATTTTTTTTCAAAATATCTTTATGCAATTGTATGTACTTATTTCTTTTGCACCCCGTACATGTAGTGCTAAATTAATTATGATTAATAGTTACTGTAAAAGGGTTTTTGAAGAGTACATTGTCATTTAAATACAAGGGGAAATACTTTTCAAAATATGTATTAAGTTTATGAAATAAAAGTAAGTATCATGGCAGAAAATATTTTATATTGCCTTGAATTAATATGGAATTTTGTTATGATTTGTGAAATTAAACTAGTTTCTCAAAGCTAGTTAGAAAGCGAACAAGATATTAATGCCTCTCTCACTTTACATCATGCAATCACTGTATTATTCAGATTATATAAATAGACCTTATGAATTTTAAATTATATGATATTTGTTGTTAAACATTGCTTTTTATATTTATTTTATAAAAATAAACTGGAAAAAAAATCTTTTTTTTTCAAACACATGTTATTCAGTTTCAATTACAAGGATTTTTTTTAGGGTGAAAAAGTTACCCAGGTGACTCATTGTGATTGTAAACTTTTTAACAGTCATTTACAGCTTCTTTTTCCCTTAAAACAAATTTTAACCATTTTTAGCCCTTCTGTCAGCCAAATTAAGGCTTAAAGAGCTAATGCTATCCATTGTGTGCAGTGCATATACCTTTTGAAATGTGGGCTAAATTCAATACCCCTTTTTTAATTTTTTAAGAATCCTTGGTTCCAGGGCTTTTATTTGAAAACTAGGATGTGACCCTTAAACAAGGGGAGATAATTTGGAAAAAAAAAAAAAAGTCCTGTTTGTGGGAAAAATTACACATAAAGATAGTTGTAAAAAAACATCAAAAGGCATCACCCGGGTCAAGGATATTTCAAAAAATACCAAAAATTAATTTTGATAAAACTTTAATTTTCCCCCTAAAGGATTAGGGTCATCAAATATTGTATGATGACTTAGGGCCCCATATTTTTCAAGTAAAAAGTAGACCACAGTGACCTAATTTATAGATTTTAGTATGTATTATTTTCAGTTTGGTTTTAATGCATTTAGAGATTTTTAGAAATGTGACATCAAAAGTTGTCATGCAGTTTATTTATTCAATTATTTTAAATAAAAGGGGGTATTAATGACCCTTTAATTAATGTCTAAGACTTTCAAAACATTTATGGTCATTATTTAAAAATTGTGAGGTTTTAAAACATCAAAACTTGTTAGTTGATGGCTATATAATTAGAACATATTTATCAAAAAAAAAGTCTCTGTAAAGACTGAAGCTCTACTGGTTTGTACCTATAGCAAAGGAAGAGAAAAATACTTAAGCAGTTGGGAATTGAAACATTATAACAGCAATAAATAGAATAATGATCCTTGATTAAGTCTTTCTATGTTCTTAATGTATTCTACTTGCATGCTACATTATATTATAATCAGACTAAAACCGTATTTGAGTGGTATTTTGAAAGTATTAAACAGAAATTTCTATTTTTAGTAACCAAAGGCAATGATGTTCATCGAAGTCTAAAACCGATACACAGAATTGTGTATCTTAGTGTAGTCTACTTGTGTGCCAACCTACATTGAAATCAGTCCAAAACTGTAGGAGACGTAGCATTTTGAATGTTTTTTTTCAAAGAATTTCTATTTTTAGTAACCACCGCAACACTTCATCGAAATCAAAAACCGATACACAGAATTGTGTATCTTAGTGAAGTCTACTTGTGTGCCAAGTTATATTGAAATCAGTCCAAAACTGTAGGAGGAGTAGCATTTTGAATGAATTTCACAGAAATTTCTATTTTTAGTAACCACGGCAACACTGTTCATAGAAATCAAAAACAGATAAACAGAATTATGTATCTTAATGTAGTCTACTTGTGTGCCAACTTATACTGAAATCAGTCCAAAACTGTAGGAGGAGTAGCATTTTGAAAGAATTTCACGGAAATTTCTATTCTTAGTAACCACGGCAACAGCGTTTACCGAAATCAAAAACCGATACACAGAATTATGTATCTTAGTGTAGTCTACTTGTGTGCCAAGTTATACTGAAATCAGTCCAAAACTGTAGGAGGAGTAGCATTTTGAAAGAATTTCACAGAAATTTCTATTTTTAGTAACCACGGCAACACCGTTCATCGAAATCAAAAACCGATAAACAGAATTATGTATCTTTGTGTAGTCTACTTGTGTGCCAAGTTATATTGAAATTAGACCAAAACTGTAGGAGGAGTAGCATTTTGAAAGAATTTCACAGAA